TTGGTGGCCAAATCTAGATACCCAAATCGAGTTTTTGGTAAATAAGTGCAGAAGCTGTCAGCAATCCCAGGATGGGCCAAATAAAGGAAAATGGCAACCCTGGAAATGGTCAACCAGACCTTGGCAAAGAATTCACATTGATTTTGCAAATAAGGAAAACATTAATTTATTAATAGTAGTAGATAGTCATTCAAAGTGGATCGAAGCCATTCCAATGAGAGAGACCACCACACGCAAAACCATTGAGCAACTACGGCGACTTTTTTCTTCCTATGGGTTACCGGAGGAACTTGTATCTGATAATGGATCTCAGTTTACTGGTAGTGAAATGAAAGGTTTTCTGGAAGGAAATGGAATTAAACAAACATTGATCCCGGCGTACCACCCGCAAAGTAATGGCTTGGCTGAAAGAGCGGTTAGAACAATTAAGACTGCCCTGGATAAAAATAAAAGGAAAATTGGGGATACACACACACACCATTCAAGACACCTTATCAAAAGTTCTTCTGGCATATCGAAGCACCCCGCATGTGACAACGGGAAAGACTCCATCAGAGCTCTTTATTGGGCGTGCGCTTCGAACCAGAGTGTCGTTGATACATCCCAGCTTGGCATCTAGAGTTAGGGACCAGCAAGCCAGGCAAATGGAGTATGATCGGCGAACCCATTTGGAAGAATTCCAGATAGATGATTTAGTGTGGTGTAAAAACTTTAGAGGTGGTGATAAATGGATCCCAGGAAAAATTGTGGGCAAGAAGGGAACTAGAGTCTACACCATTTTGATCCACGGACAGGTAAAGGCCTATCACAGGGATCAAATTAGAAAAAGGTGGAGGAATGGTGAGGAAGATGAGAGTGGAGATGGAGAGCGTCAACCCGAGCACTCAAGAGGAGCAGGTCCCAGTGCCATAATCTCGGAGGTTGTACGAGACAGAGGTTATATGGAGTCGCTGTCGCCAGGACTAACTAGCCAGCGGTCGGATCAAGATTTAGAGGTTCAGAGTGATACAGACGATGGAAAGTCATTGGAGCCTCTTCGCTCGCTGGACCCCGAGGCCTTGAAAGAGGAGGGTCCTGTCCTAAGGCGGAACCCACCTCGAGCGAGGAGACCTCCTGTGAGATTTGAAGAGAGAAGATGGTGATATATAGCTAGCAATAAATATGTATATATATATATGTTTCTATGAAAATGTTAATCTGCAAGACGCAGGTTATCATCATCATTGATTTGTTGTTGTCACTTTTTGGTTTTTCGCAAAAACAACAAAAAGCTGTATCAGACTTTACTAAGACAATAAAGATTTGCTAAAAGATAAAAGTGTACTAAGATGCTGCAATTATTGTCTTTGAATTTTGTATCGAATCAGTGTCTCATAGAAGTCAATGCGGGTGAACGTTCATTTTTGGTAAAATATATTTTATAAAATTTGGTAAAAACATTATATATATATATATAGTAAAAAATAAAATTATTCTTAGTTATTGAGGTTAAGACATGTATCAGACTTGTATTAGAAATATTTTTTAAATGATCAATTCTACCTATATGTACCAAAAGAAATACCTCTCCCTTTAAAATATATTATAACCATGTATTTTGAAGGGAGAGGTACATCTTTTGAAGTGCCTTCTTGTACATGAATACCATCTTCCTCAACCCTATGTTAAATACATATATGTGACAATATAATAAGGTGGGGAAAGAGAAATAATCACACCACAAGTTGGTAGAGGAACCCAGGCAACCTGAGAGAGAGAGGGAGAGACGGGCCCGGCAAAGCCGGGCGGCCGTTCGTGTCGCACACAATTCCCAACTGTCTTAAAAGTCCCGAGGTTCCAAGTAACGGGCCCCAGTAGTCGCCCCTTGGAATGTCGCTGAGGTCTAAAGTGACCGGTCCTTACCCGCCCATCTCTCTTTGGGTTTACTGTAGGTTTGCTTTATTATTCCTGGAAGAGTATATATTATGACATATATGTATTAGAGGAAAATATTACTTCTTTTCTCAATTTATTTTTTGCTTTCTCGACATAACAACATTGTTTTTTTTAACTACTCAAAACTTGAATTTATAATCTTTTCAGAATATCACTAAGAATGGTTTTAAAAAATTATAAACAGATTCGGATTTAAGACTGAGAATTTTTTTTAACACAAATTAGAGGTGTTAAATAGAGATTCAAATTTGTTACTCTACTAATGTCAGATAAATTATAAATACGATAAAAATAAAGAGAGAGATTTGTGTTACATGGTTCAATTAGAAATAAAGGCAGGGAATAAAACTTTAGTGGGTAAGAGAAAAAATCTGCTAAAGCAGAAGCTAACATAATAAACAGGATGGTCTATAGGGAAACATTGCCTTGAAGCATGTCCGGCAATAATGGAGAGTTGGGGAAACCTTAGACAAATTGAATTGGCCAATTCCATACATTAGCATCTCTACAGTAGGGTTATCTGATTTAATAGACAAACCTAGAATATGATGCACTAGCGCGCCATCTGTTATCAAAATTCGAAACTATTTTAAAGGCGTAAGATTCTTTTTGAAAATAAACAATTTCTACTGCCCTTACTGCAATGAAAAAATTAATGGGAGGGCCTGGCTCATCAGTGGTGAACCCTCCCAGCCAGAGGGTCATTTAAAGGTGAGGGGTCTAAAGTGACTCCTAGGTATTTGGGTGTCCGAGAAAATTTTATTTGATTGTTGTCATATTTGATATTTGGGGTCCATTTTTTTAAGGTGGTTGTTTATTGTAAACTAGACGAATGGCCCGGGCAACGCCCGGGTTTTACCCGAGTGCGTATATATTTTAAAAACGTTTTAATTCAAATACTATTCGTTACAATTATAAATTGGCGCCATGGATGTCACTCTTGTGAAACGTCCCGTTCCAAACTGTGTGTTTTTAAAATGTTTTAATTAAAATACTATTCGCTACAATTATAAATTGGCGCCGTGGATGTCTCTCTTGTGAAACGTCCCGCCCCAAACTGTGTGTGTCTTGAAAATATAAAAATAAAAATGTGAATTTTCATAAAGATTTCATCATGTCGATTTTTTATATAAAAAAGATTAAATAATTGTGCAAAACGGTATATCTCTATATATATAAAAATGAATGTTTGTATGTCTGTATGTCCGGTATACAAATTCGCAGTAGTTCACTAATTCAAACCAAAATTTCCATACATAGGTAAAAAAAATACGGGAAAGACGATAGGCTATTTTAAAAAATATATAAATCAATTATTAAAACTATATATTTTTATTCAGAAAATGATGATGACGATATTGCTGTATCATGTTTGATTATCAGATACAAAATTATATCGGGAAAATATATATTAATATTAATATATAAAAATGAATGTTTGTATGTTTGTTTGTCTGTCTGTATGTCCGGTATACAAATTCGCAGTAGTTCACTAATTCAAACCAAAATTTCCATACCTAGGTAAAAAAATACGGGGAAGACGATAGGCTATTTTAAAAAATATATAAATCAATTATTAAAACTATATATTTTTATTCAGAAAATGATGATGACGATATTGCTGTATCATGTTTGATTATCAGATACAAAATTATATCGGGAAAAATTCCAAAAAGCAGAGACAACGGGTGAAACCAGTTCATTATTTTGTACGCAGGAACAAAATTCTAACAGAAAAACATTCATTCGAGCAGAAAACAAAAGCTAGATCATCTTTCTATAAAAATATCGCTTCTCAGACACAAAGTTTGGAGCGGGACGTTTCACAAGAGTGACATCCACGGCGCCAATTTATAATTGTAACGAATAGTATTTTAATAAAAACATTTAATCGGGTAAAACCCGGGCGTTGCCCGGGTCATTCGGCTAGTACGATATATAAACATCAAAAGAAATAATGAGCCTATCGTTCAAATATAAAATTCGAATAAATATAAATGAGATACTAAAAATTAAATACCTATTTAATGAATATCATATTTTATTCTTATAAAGGTACTTATATATAATTAAACTAGACGAATGGCCCGGGCAACCCCCGGGTTTTACCCGAGTGCGTATATATTTTAAAAACGTTTTAATTCAAATACTATTCGTTACAATTATAAATTGGCGCCATGGATGTCACTCTTGTGAAACGTCCCGTTCCAAACTGTGTGTTTTTAAAATGTTTTAATTAAAATACTATTCGTTACAATTATAAATTGGCGCCGTGGATGTCTCTCTTGTGAAACGTCCCGTCCCAAACTGTGTGTGTCTTGAAAATATAAAAATAAAAATGTGAATTTTCATAAAGATTTCATCATGTCGATTTTTTTTTTTGCATTTCACCTACTAAATCGATAGAGATAATTACATTTGCAACATGAACTTAGGTATATTGACTAAATAGAAAACTGCATAGTAATAAAGATCATTTTTTAAAGGCACCATATCGTTTTTTTTTTCAATAAAATCGAAACAAAAATTAACGATAAATAACGATAATTGCCTTAAAAAGAAATTGCCTTAAAAAAAAGAAAAATTCGCGGTGATTTTGTCTTGCATTCGTTTATACAATTATTATATACGAATGACCCGGGCAACGCCCGGGTTTTACCCGATTAAATGCTTTTATTCAAATACTATTCGTTACAATTATAAATTGGCGCCGTGGATGTCATTCTTGTATAATATATAAATGAGTTTTAAAAATTGTAAAAAAAAAAATGCATCGGCCGGGAATCGAACCCGGGCCGCCCGCGTGGCAGGCGAGCATTCTACCACTGAACCACCGATGGTTATGAAAAATCCCATCCGTGAGCTTCAGACAGACAAACAAACAGACAGAATAAGGCAAATATATAAGTAGATACTTATATATAATATAATTTATTTAAAATATAAAATATATATAAAATATATAATATATATAATATAAAATATATAATATATAAAGGTTACCGATTTAAAAGTCTATTTTATAATTTTAGATTGTATAAGAAACATATTTTCATTTAAGTATTGTACTTGTGGCCTAGTGGTCATGGCATCTGCCCGGTAAGCGGAAGGTCGTGGGTGACCAAAATCTATCCGTAAACTTCACACAGTGAACTTCACACAGACAGAATAAGGCAATTATATAAGTAGATACTCCTACTTCGGATTTATTAGGGTTTATAATTAATTTCATTTTTTCCGCAAAGTGTTGGAGTTCTTTCAACTCTTTTTTATGATTATCATTACTATTGTGCGAACTTTATTAGCAAGCTTTCGGACACATGCGTCCTTGTAGTGAGTCACAGTAAAGCCTGTAGAAGGACGCACGCGTCCTTGTAGTGAGTCACAGTAAAGCCTGTAGAAGAACGCATGCGTCTTTGTAGTGAGTCACAGTAAAGCCTGTAGAAGGACGCATGTGTATTTGTAGTGAGCCACAGTAAACCTGTAGAAGGACGCACGCGTCCTTGTAGTGAGTCACAGTAAAGCCTGTAGAAGGACGCACGCGTCCTTGTAGTGAGCCACAGTAAAGCCTGTGGAAGGACGCATGCGTCTTTGTAGTGAGTCACAGTAAAGCCTGTAGAAGAACGCCTGCGTCTTTGTAGTGAGTCACAGTAAAGCCTGTAGAAGGACGCATGCGTCTTTGTAGTGAGTCACAGTAAAGCCTGTAGAAGGACGCATGCGTCTTTGTAGTGAGTCACAGTAAAGCCTGTAGAAGAACGGATGCGTCTTTGTAGTGAGTAACAGTAAAGCCTGTAGAAGGACGCATGCGTCTTTGTAGTGAGTCACAGTAAAGCCTGTAGAAGGACGCATGCGTCTTTGTAGTGAGTCACAGTAAAGCCTGTAGAAGAACGGATGCGTCTTTGTAGTGAGTCACAGTAAAGCCTGTAGAAGGACGCATGCGTCTTTGTAGTGAGTCACAGTAAAGCCTGTAGAAGGACGTCCGAAACCTTGCTAATAAAATTCGCACAAGATACTCCTCTCCAATCTCTATTTTATTTTGCTATTCTAACTCGAAGAGTTTAATTTAGTAAAACGACATTTGGAAATTATCCCGCATGAGTTTCTTTTCAACGAAAAATCAAAATTTATTTTAAGGAGAAATAACGATTATTTCTAAACCTTAGGGATGAGGTATGAAAGGATGAATTGTGAAGAGTAATGATAAACGGAAAAATAAAAGTGTCAGGGATGGGAATCGAACCCACAGTGTTCCGCTTACCGGGCAGATGCCATGTCCACTAGGCTACCTTATGCTACTTAGTAGACTATTATTATTTGTTCGATATTTGAAAAGGAAAAAATATTAGCGACTTAGTCTAAGTTATCTATAGGAATATGTAATAGTGGTATTAAATACGAGATGGTTTCAGATTGGTTCGTGGGGGGATATCACGTGACTAGCCTAATGATGATGATGATAAGGATGACGTCATTTAGCCTCCCCCCCAGATCGTTTCCTGTTTTCTATAAGCCGTTATTTATTGATGAATTCAGAAGAGAACTTCTTTAAGAAAAGACATTTTCCATTTCTCTCTTCAGGAAATAGAGGAAGGAATGAAATGTGGACGATGAGAAATTAATCTAATGGAAATCAGTTCTAAATTTATGGCGAATATTTAATTAATAATACTCATTACGCTTTTGAAAAAAAAAATTCTTTAAAAATCATTTTAATTATATAAAAATTATACAACATCATTGAAATATTTTGGAATCTAAAGAGAATAGCGTAAAATTTCACATTTTTTCGATAAAATTTGTAACAACGACATTTTAAAACTATTCCGCATGTGTTTCTTTTCAACGAAAAATCAAAATTTATTTCAAGGGGAGAAATAACGATTATTTCTAACCTTTGGGATGAGGTATGAAAGGGTGAATTGTGAAGAGTAATGATAAACGGAAAAATAAAAGTGTCCAGAGATGGGAATCGAACCCACCCTGTTCCGCTTATCGGGCAGATGCCATGTCCACTAGGCTACCCTGGTCATGGTTACTGTCAATGTGTTTATTTTTAATAATATCATCAAATATTATCTTTACAGACCTTACTGCAATGATTAAAAGTTATTGAATCAGAGGGCTTGGTTCATCAGTGGTGTTTGAGGAACATCTATAAGCTGCCTTCCATAGAAAATGCAGGGTATAAAACAAAACCAATACAATACAATAGTAGAGCGGTCTGGAGATCAATTTGACAAAACTGCTGAGAGGGTTCACCACTGATGAGCTAAACCTTCTCATTCAATAACTTATATCATTGCAGTAAGGTCGGTAGATATAATAATTGATGATATTATTGAAAAGAAACACATTGCGAGTAAATTTATTTGTTACAGATTTTATTGATAGATTACAATTATTTTATTTCCAAAGCGCTATATCCCGCAAGGGATATATACGCACACATGCCAAACAAGGAGAAAAGTTTATTTACATAAGTTATTTACATTATTCAACTCATGAAAACATTAGAGATCCAGATTTTGTAGAAAGTTTAGAATGTATTTACAAAATGAAGTAAACTTTAAATATGATTTTTTATCGGAAATTATACATTTTTCTATCCTGTATTGAACCATCTTGATTTGTGGGGAGTTACTGATTAGCTCTTGTACCTAGTAGACCATTGATGATAGATTAGATGGGAGTATTCAGGAGTGTTTGATAAGCTGTACTCATCTACAGTTGCTTCTTGTTATATGACTTTGTTTGGTGTAATGGCCCTCTATCTCACGTTAAATGTTTGACTTGTTGCAGACCACGATGGTAAATGTCTGAGTTTGTTGAGAATCCTTTTGATCCCTGAGATATTGTTTCTTGTATCGGAGTATTGTCTCGAATATTGTATCGTCAACTCGTGGTGTAGAGAGGAATGGAACAACATGTGTAGTTGGGGGTGACTGTGGCTAGAGATGATGGTCATTACATGGTGTTGTGGCCTTGTCATGGTCGCGATATCTTGTTGTGGACAAGAGACGTTGCTAGATGGTGAGAGGTCAGTTGGTAAATATGGGCTGGGGTCTACAGTTTCTGTTTTGTACGGGTCCTTCTTGTATAGTGTTGTGTGTTATCTCGTGTTGGGGGCGTTTTGTACTCTCGTGAGGTGGCAACGGCTAGTTGCTGGAATTAGGGACTTTATTTATATGTCTTTCTGGGTGGCTGAGGATTGGCGTAACAACAGCGGGATAACATTAATGCCCTCGTGTAGAATGGACGATTTTAAAACAATATTTAGCACTGATATATACATTTTGATTATATACAATTATACCTATGTAAATTATGCATATGCTTAGTGTCTCTCTCTGCATATATGCAAACTACTAATGATATATGCAAATTAAATAGAGATTTTCAAATAATTTTTTTTCTCAAAAGGATTTAAGTATTTAGTGTCTATAGATTACTATTTTATAATAAACCCTTAAACAACCGACCGTATATAAAAAAAAGTCCACACACAATATTAGATACAAAATTCATTTATAACCATCAATATCTTGATTGGAAGTATGCCAAACTTTATCGTAGTATAAAAAAATCGATAAACTATTTGTTTTATATAATTCGTTATTATTTGAAAAGTAGTTTTAATATAAAAAATGGTATAAATTATAACACCAAAGGATTATCTATCTAGATACACGAGAGAAGCAAATATAAGAATTCCCATCACAGATCTGATACAAGCTGACACAAGTAGTGGAAAATATTACTTGTCTGACACAATATTCCACGGCATCATCGTGTTTTGATGAAGTTCCGTATTTGCATATATCCGGTCATTGATTTTAGACAAAGTCACAGAACTAGAAAAATTACGGCCTTAAATCCGGTGGGAATTTAAAAACCATTCTCACATTAAATTTCTGAAAAGATTATACATTAAAATGTTTATATTATTGTCCAATAAAACAAAATGCAAATTTTTCCCTTTTCTCATTCCTCTTCGACAATAATGTCCCTGGACACTTTATTTTCCGTTCATCATTATTCTTCACAATTCATCCTATCATACTTCATCCTTAAGGTTAGAAATAATCGTTATTTCTCCTTAAAATAAATTTCGATTTTTCGTTCCAAAGAAATATTTGCGGTATAATTGTTTAATATCGTTCTACAATCATAAGCCGTATTATATTGTATAATAAAAAAGGAGTTAAAATATAACAATTATAATACAAATGAAAACACCAAAACGCGAATGTTTCTTTTCACAAATAAATCAAACTTCTACTGTCCTTACTGCGATGAAAAAATATTGGAAGGGCTTGGCTTATCAGTGGTGAACTCTCCCAGCCAATGGTAGATAGATTAAATTGGCGAAACCGCTGGGAGGATACACCCTCCTGCCACTTTGAAGCTGTAGGATAGAGTTTTGGGAGGGATTTTGGCCTCTGGGAAAACCCAAGAACTATAATAGAAACGCTGAGACAATGGAACCTAATGGAGATAGTTTAAACGACTTGAGAAATAAGCAACAACAATAACATATTGGTATTCCAATTTTTTGCAAGTGTTTACGAACTTTTGGAACAACCTTGTATAAGTAACACACAGGGAATGAGATAGTTTATAAAAATCCCCATGTAAAACGTAAAAAGAGTAACATTACTTAGATCTATATAAATATCAGATTGAATTTCTTTCAAGAAGAAAGAGAAAGAGAGAGAGGAAGGGGCTCTTGAGAACCTCTCTCACCAATGGAGAGGACCGCCGTGGACTTAAGTGTATTTACTTGGAATTTGCATAAGTCCTGACTCTCTTTTGAGAAGTAAATAGATTAAAAAAAAAAAAAACATTTTGAAATTATTTGATTTCAATGTTTACCTTTTTAAAATATTCAATTAGAAAAAAACAACCACGTTAATGGAATCAGTTTTTACAAATAAATTTCCTTTTATTTATTTTAGAAGAAAAAATATATATCGAAATGTGTTTTCAAAGATTTTGTTAGGATTTTATAAGTTGTTTTTTCCTAGATTAGTTTATTTATATTTTGACCAGATGACTGGACGATTTTACATGTATATAAATTGGTTTTTAATGATGTAAGTTAGTTAGTTATGAAAGGAAATTAAAGGTGTTAATTTTCTGAG